GAAACCCCTGCCCCGTCGTTTCGGTTTATACACCCACGATTGGCACTAATTGCCAAAGCCTCAGCGTATAGGCGCTCGGTGTTTGTTCGCAAACCTCGTTGGAGAATTTTCGTGTTTTCATAATCAATACTATATCCCTCGGCAATGGCATGAAGTGCGATTGCCGAATCTCGTTCGAGTTTGTTGAGCTGCGTGGCATTAGTTGATCTCAATTTTTCTTTTCTTCGGTGTTCTGTGATTCTCACTCCAGGCTGTCTGCGCGTTTATCCAATATATTCTGCTGGGCAATCCTTGCAACTGATCTTGTAAATGCAGTTTCTTTTATCCTGCATCTGAATTGGATCTTTGACCTTGGACAGCTTTTGTTGAAGTGTGTTATCTATCCGGAAGAAAAACCGGATGTTGTAACTACCGAGGATATTTCTGATTGCCTCAAATGTCCCCGATCTGTAGGGTATACCACTGGATGCCAACTAGTCTATTGGACCCTTGCTTTTCGTGGTTGTTCTAGGTTTGAAAAGCTTGTGTTCAAGCCGCTGTGGGTAGTTGTTGTCCTGGAGTACCCGGTTTAAGCGTCGCATTTCTTCTTTTCGTGTTGTCTCCTCGGTGCACAGGTTTTTAACCCTGGAAAGACTCGAATCATTGGGGTTGTGCTCCTCACAATATTGCTGAATTCGAGGGTTTTTGATTATGTTGTGTCAAATAATATAGAATCCTGACCACCTATGTCGTTCACTGTTTGTCTTATGGTCCAAAACCCACCTCAGGAGACTCATTCAAAAAAGTGCTCCAAAACTGTCAGCTAGAATGCCAATTGTATCCCTTTACACTCAGGGTGTGCGGTATTTAGAATCCCCTACGACTTCAGGTTTCGGTGCCTATAATATATTCATCTAACCAAAAATTGGACGAATTATTGTCATGTCTTAAATTTCGACATCAGTACACGGAACAGGAAAAAGTTGTGACATTCCGCAACTCTCTTTAATGGATAAATCGATCCAGTTGTCTTATGCATCAAGAGAAGCAACCGACTGTTAGCATTTCCCATGATAAGTAGTTAGCTTGAACTTTGATATAAAATTGTACATTTACAAGGTCGCAGTACAGTTTTTCTTCAAAAACGTACATTTATTCTGTTCGAACAACAGATACCTGTCGAAGAAATTCCGAGTATTTCAACAGTTAGATCGGCAAAAGAAGTAGACACGATTTCACCACACGAAATGGAGTCTAGTGTATGCTTGCTATTTAAGATCAAATCCGTTTGATCAAGCTAAACACAATATAACGTGAAATAACTATTTCAAAGCTCACCGCAAGGCTAAACACCATCCTCAGTTATAGCCATTATAAAAGGAATATTCCAGTATTTACTTCTTTATTCACGCATAATTTGTTTACTACTTTGGCACATTCTCGTTCGAGTGTTACTTCGGGCCATGCTGACGCGTTAAGCTACCAGCCTAAACACAGGCGATCAACACTGTCACAAGTTCGGCCGATTGTCTACACGCTTATCAGAGTCCAATAAGGTTCATTTTGTGCGGATCTGATTGGGTAACAGTTGAAATGTCTGTGTACCAGATGCAACTCGTATGAATAAATCGTAAAGTTCTTGTCTCTACTTGCCGTACACAAAGTAACAAAAATGTACAGGGTTTATTATGGGATGGAATTGACAGGTTGTTTATGTGTGTGCATTTATATGGATATATACAATGAATATCGCTAGATGCATTTAGGTCCTACATCGGGTGATTTGAATGATGTTTGAATCTTAAATATCTGGTTCTAATTTGTGACGTCTACGTGTCCATCCATACGAGAACCAGTGATATGAATGAACTAACTTTTCCAGCATGTGAATCATCAAGGTAACAATGACTACCTAAAGAAATAAACCTCATTTGTGACAAACACAGTAAAGGAGACTTATGGCAAATAGCATAGTCTTTTATCTTCGCTTGTCCGGTTACATGCGGATCATTTTCATTGATCTTAGCTAATTCCCGTTTCAGTTCACTTTTCATATCTTGGTAGATTTACAGGTTAAACAACAAATTTAATGCTCACTCCGATTTACTGGTAGAGAAGCCCAGTTATGGCTAAAGTGCTCAGTTTTCAGAATGAATACTCCATTTTCTTGAGATCCTCAAACAATGCATCGAGAAAAATTGCAAAAGGTGCACCTGATGAACAGGAAAACCCTTTAGTTACTTGGGATACGTTAAAGCTTGGAGGTATACATTGTTAGTTTTAGGAATATTTTGAACATACCATTCCATTCTTGTTTAAGTATTGATGACTAATTGAGGTGACAGTGATGCAAGTGATCGGGCAAAGGAAATAATGATAAAATATTATCAGAGCACTAGAGTTGACTTGAATGATAATCGAAATTGTGCTGAAAATCAGTTGACTACTTATTACTTATAATGCTTTTGTTTTATCCGTTTTTCATGCTTTATTCGGAAGCTAAGGGGCGAAAATGTGCCTCCTATTCACCGGATTTTTCCCATCTCCTTTGGATGTATACATGGGTGATTTGTTCCTACATTGGCAGTTCACCATCTCAGGATGTGGATGGAATTTGTCCCAAACTCTGTCGTCCACATACAAACGCATTTCGAGAATCCTTGTCAGTTGCCACTTTACAGGAACCTTCATTGTTCTATGCGCACGATTTTCGTGAAGATGCAGTGGATATTTGTGAACAGCTTCAATTCGCTTTACCCGGTTCGTGCGGTCTTATTGATCGGGGGGTTAATATACTTGATTTTGAGTAAGTCATTTCGGATTGGTTTTTGTTCAAAATGCAGGTATTTTTGATCAAATTTGCATGCTGCCTCATGTGGTACTTCTTGAATAGTATTCTTGTATGAAAAGCAATTTACTTCGAAGTAAGGGGATACAGCTGGTTCATCTGAATGAAAAGGTTAATATTGACTGCCAAGTTCACTTGTTAAGAATCAGTTATCTATGCACGATTGATAGAGTACGATACGAGAATACAAGGAGAGCATACGGTCATTCAAATAAATACGGTGGTTCTGTTGGATTTTGTATAAGAGAAATGGAGTTGAAAGAACGAATTCCTCTCATTTTTTTCTTCTTACTTCTTTATATTTCTCACGCATCTAGGGTTAGACTGTGGATCAAAACATACAGGTTATCAATGTTTATAGGAAAGAAATGAGACTGTGATTTGCACATGGGCTTAATACTGCAAGGTTACCCAGGCCATAGCAGGTTTGTCTTGAAATAACTGGAATAAACTGGGAGCGTTGGAACGGTTAGATAATGAAAATGGATCAACTACTTCCAATGAAATGTTGAAAGTTGCCATGAAATAATAAATCAGAGAACAGTCCACCTTCGTTGGGCAGAAATTGAATGAAATGGCCTGTCAACGATGAGAGTAGGTAAATGGATGGGTGATACTAAGCGAAGGCCATGGCAGTAGCAACAGTATAGACATGGCATTTGTACATAAAGATCAGAATTCGAACGGCTAATGGAAACCGTCTCGGTTAACAGAGGTAATCTCGGGATTCGAATCTCGATAACGACGAGGAACTCTTTTAGCCTGGCATTGCTATCCGATCTTCTAGCCCCTCCAAGCTAATCAAGGGTCGCAGTTCATAAACTCGACTCATTATCGTTCTAAGTTTGTAACGAAGGAGATAAACACTTTCCTGTCCATGCATAGTTGTCGTCTGGAGTGTACCATAGTTCAGAATACTCAATAGAAAAGTTGAGTGGTAGTGAGCCATTGCGTCTGCATCCAAAATGTACTAGATATTCCCGTGCATGCTTTTCAAGTTGTAAAACAACATCTTGGCGTCGGCTTCATTCGTATTGATGATGGATGTATCAACGAGTCATCAGCAGAGAGTGCGTTTTGTGACATTATCGTGAGTCAAAATTTGAATTTTTGTAAGGAAGTATAATCAGTACACAATGGATAACATTTTGCGCTACGTAGGCTAGGCGATTTTCCCGGGTACGAAGCCCCTTGAAATTTTTCCGCAATGAACCACAACAAATAGAAAAGTAGCTGTTTGATGCACCTCGTCGATCCTTAAAAATCTGGTACTTAAAAGTCACCTGAATAAAAATAGTGGCGGACAAACAAACTCTTAAAAGTCGCACATAAACGAGAATAGCGTTTGTGTAATCGACAGCAATACTTCAAGTTATCACTGAAATTACATTCTTTGAGATTAATCTGAAAACGATACATTGATGGCCTACTTCTGAAACGCAGATAGAAATCTCTGTAAACAGCAAGCAGTCTTTTAGGGTCAATGAGTGTCCTAAAGCTGATTAGTTATAGCTGAGGAGAGCAACTAAAGTTGGCATTAGTGGATTCATATTATTCTTCATCTCGTGATATTCAATCTAAATGTTATTGATTCAGTCGTATTTATTGCGTTTTAGAAGGTTTCATGGAACTGCGTCATTAATTGGTGGTATTTCAAAGTACTGAATCACCGTAATATGTCTGAGATTACGCGTTACCAGTAAAGCGGAAAATAATGTTCCAAATCCAAAAGTAGATTGTTTTACCTTATTTGTATTGCACTTCTATTTGCTTGCTGAAAGGTGATTGCAATTGTAGGAACACTTAGGATTCCTTCTCTATTCGTTAAACCCATTGATATTCAGCTAAATTTGAGATAATAAGAATCTCAGCCTCAACAACATACTGAAAATCGTCACAAAGTCATTTTTTTGTATGGAATCGTACCACTCCTGTTTCTCTGAGTTATGTGAGTTATGCGACCAAAAAGGAGTTTTCATGGTTCATCTCACACGAGTACGTTTTCACTAACGGCATCATGCATTGAAAACATCTCTTCTCAGATTCCTGCTATGACCATATGGTAAAGATATAGTCTCAATCAAAGCTCTTATACATGCCTTGTCACCCATGTGACTATTTCGGTTTATTGAAAATTCTATTCTTGTTACATAACTAACTGGGACTATGGAATTTGTTAGAATATGAGTGCATCTGGCAGCATTCAATTTACCGTGACATCCATCAAATCCGAAAATGGTCTAACTGTGTTTTATTCATGTTTTTCTTTATGCGAGGGTTTTAATTTCCTAGTCTGACCACTATTTATTCTGTCAATCTACCTATTACAGTTTCTATTCTCTTGACTCAAAACAGAACAATATGATTACTGTGATAAAATCATATTTATAGGATGTTATGTCAAGTTCGTTGAATTGAATAACTAAAAAACTCGGTGTGTTCGACCTTTGTTAGATGCGAGTGTGCATCAGGTGCATACGAATGGAAAACCACACAGGAAATCCGAGGATGTTTGCTCAAAGATAGCATCATGGCTACTGAAAGTGATTCAAATGCGACCAACTGGCATGTGCTCTGTACTCCTGACCAGAAGTTTCGCTACTGTGATCCGAAAAATACCGACGTGTGCTACTTCCGTTTGTGGAAGGAATCCAATGAACCTCAGCTGAATTTGACCACATTTGTACGCCAGTCGCGTAACCCGTTTTGCCACTGTAAGAAAGGGTTTGCCGGGATATCTTGTGCCGACAAATTTGATCCGTGTGTGCATCTGATTCCTTTGGCAATTAATGACCCAGAAAACTATATCAATATCCACATACCAGATGGACCGCATTTACCACTCTACTCTAATGACGAGATTTCCGGGGCAAGTGGAGATTGGCTTTGTGGTGTACGGTCAGGACGTGGGATGTGTAATCCTACTGGTGATCCGGATTCGCGTAAGTTTCAAATCACTGTATTTTAGCTCCCTTTCTGAAGATATTCTTGGTCACAACTGCAGACAACCTAACTAACCTCAATGCCTTTCGTACAACAAAAAGATAGTTTATAAGTGGAATAAGTTTAATACGGTCTTTCCGGCAAATAAACTGGTACTCAGTAATATGCCTTATTTATTTCCTACAAACCTAGTAGATTATAATTACCTGTCTAGGCAGGTACTGAGGGTTCCAGTGAAGTTCTTTTTGGTTGGAACTGGAGTCGATTTGGACCTATGATAATTCGATTATGCAATCATGGTGGGCAGTGTTACAATGTATTTTTACGATGAACATCGTTCACTTTAGACAACCATCAGTTTAGCACTTCGATCTCCGGTTCTTTCCTTGAAAACGAAGAAGGACGAAAGTGAAAAGAGCGATTTACATGGCTTGACAAGGAAAAAAAATGTCTGTGAAATTGTTACTTTTTTGGCATTCAGTCTTGTCTGTAACCTTTTGAATTGCGACTCAGACGAATATACAAGTCCAACAGATTTGACTGATTTGATAACTTCAGATCACGACACAACCAGGTCTGTCCTTCTCGTGCTTTTGCTATCGTCGTTGTTAATATAAACTAAAAAATGTTTTCAAGCGTTAACCTGGTCAGAGACAATTCAAGCTAATACGAAAAATTGCTGACGTAATAAAAAGTCAATATTCGCGAGGCGGTCACTTGAAAAACGTTTCACTTTAAGTTTATAAACCGGTGGTACAATTAGTCATTGTCAGCGAATCAAGACAATGGAGTCTGTTAGCACGCGAAACAAGGGTTTCACGCCGTCCAGCTACGAAATTCTCGAGACAAAACACCAGTTCCTGACCACAACACGATTTGCGGTGCTGCTCCGGTGGACAGCTAAAAATCCAGTAAACCCTTGCCAAACGAGCAGAACTGGATATCATCCTGCATTGATCTCTCCTCCGATCGTGGTTTCCGGGATGCTCATGAATGCAGCTCGTTCCACAGGAGGAGATAGCAACATAAAGTAGTCAATCACCTACAAATCACTCAATTCTGTTCTTCCGGATTTATTTTTCATTCAAACAAAGACGGAGTCCTTGATGCAAGCCTGTACCGGCAGGACAGGGAATCATGTGGCAAGAAATCTGGTGGTGGTGTGGCTACCTACGTCAACATTCGTGGTGTGGCAAGTCAGATGCCGTTTACTCATACTCAAGTAACGGTATTGATTATTTATCTCTTCTGTGTTACCCTAAATTCTCCCGACATAGAAGTACCTTCATAACGAACCGATATATTGCTCCGTTTTGTACGCAAAATACCATCTCGACATTCTTCGACTCATTTTTACCTTTTCTTGTACCACTGCTTGAGGACAACCTGCATATTATTGTAGGTGATTTTAACCATGCTTCAACCCGGCCTCTCACTGCTTTTGATCTAACAGATTTATGCGTTTCGCCGACCAGAGGTAACTCCGTTTTAGACAGAATTATAAGATATCACCCCGAATTCTTCTCTCTCCATCTCCGTGCACCCGTATCAACCAGTGGTCATTGTCTGCTCCTTCTTAAACCTAGGATATATTCCCGTTCTACCTTCTATTCATTTAGGCAAAGTAAACAATTCAAAATCCGTCTTCGAAACACGTCACGAAAATGTATTTTTCTCCTTCAAAGAGCCCTATCCCATGCAGTTTCATGGTTTTCCCTTGAGCCTTCGTTAAACAACAATGTTAATCTCTTTGTTGATGCAATCAATTCCATCTTTGACATCTGTTGCCCGGTGGAAACCCTATTTCTCTCCGATGGTCGTATTGCATCTCCGAAACTCAAAACATTTAGGAGACACAAGGAACATTTCTATACAGTACTGGTCGATTGTGATGCACTGAAATATTTTCTCCATGACCAAATGGAGTTTCATTATATTTATTACTTGTTTTAATGTTTTATGTGTGGACAATAATTTATATCTTGTCTACTGGGATCTAAGTAGTTTCTAGGCTGCATAATTGTCAATTTAAACGTGCGTGACCTTGGTTGCTAAGATTAAATGATCTGAACATGAAAAACGCAAACTTTATCACGTATGAAGACGCAATATATTCTAATAGGGATAAATCAAGAATTATCCTAAATTATTTCTATAAACCCTTGCCATCTCGGATGTTTGCTATGAGGCATTTTTTTAATCCGACATATAATCCATTATAGCGACTCTATGGAATATCGATTAGACCTGTAAATCCCGGAATTCATTAATGGTCAGCTACATTTCTACCCTGATAAAAAAAGAAATTAAAGGTATCGATACAACCTATGGGAATCAACTCCTATGCAGCCAAAACAGGAGACACCTTTGGAAAGGAAGTCGGATCTTATGTGGAGCGAAGTCCAAACCCAGTGTATGTACTGTGGACGTTGAGAGTATAAATCAGGCATTTGTGCATCCGAGTAGCGATCCTCCTGTTTCATGGATTCCGGAAGACGCAGCTAACATAACCCCGTTCTCGAGAGAAGAAATATTTAAACTCCTTCGCACAACTAAATCATCCACTGGTATTGGTCCAGACGGTTTATCTTCATCCCTTCTAAAGCATGGTTCCCTGGCTCTAACGAATGCTTTTACTTCTATCCTCAACACGTCACTTAGTTCATATTCCATTCCCAATTGCTGGAGACCCGTTACGATCATTCCCATTCCAAAACCGTGTAGACCCAGCATCCTGTCCAAACATTTCCGTCCCATTGCTCTAACGTCATGCGGTCTTAAATCCACAGAACGTGCCATTCTCAAACGCCTTTCTGCTTCCTTCTGTACTCCTGAAGACCATCTCCAGTTCGCTTATAAATCAAACAGGTCCACTTGGGATGCTGTTGTCTCCCTCGTTCATCACGTTACCAAATCCTTAGACGCATCTGTGAAGTCTGTAAGATGTGTTTTCTTAGATTTTCCATCAGATTTTGACT